CTCTCTCTCTCTCTCTCTCTGATGGCTGTCTTAACCTAGTCTTAGGCGTCTTAGGCTCTGTGCAATTATACACATTTTAATTATTGTATGTCAACATCTACTAATGCTTATAATTATTGGCGACTAGCTCAATGACAGCTACGGATAAACTTATTGATGTGAGACAATTTGAAAATGATCTGATTCCACCTGCTTCTCTGGTGACTAATCATAATCTTTTCTATGTCAGTGTTCACATGTAATTGGAATGTTCCCTTTGTTGTAGGTATGGCTATATAATATAGGATTTGGTAGTCTGGTTTACCAGGTTGAGAAAGTTTGTGATAGCTCTGGAGAAGATCCATCATGCAGCAGGTAATGATGTTGTTTCAGTCGTAGCTACTTGTTCAAGCAATTAGTTGTTCAAGCAATTAGTTTGTGGATTTGTCATGCTAGACACAAGAAGTCGTGTGACCGACCAGCTTGTTCTAGAGAATATTGGTTCTTTGTTACCAGGAATATATGTGGACGATTGATGAGAATGCGTCTTTGCAGATCAGTGACTGGTAACAGCCTTACAGACCATTTAGTCTACTATGGTGTGGGATTAATGGCTGAGACATGGGGATCGTGCAAAATCGTCGTGGACGCACGATTGAAGGAATATGGAGGTGAAGATATCAAAGGAAATCTTATCCTTTCCAGAAATCCTTCTGCTTTTGCATTGAGGCTGCCTTCAGACTCTGATGCCAAGAGCAACTTTAGTTAAAATGCTCCTGGGTCAGCTCCTGGTTTCTCAAAGATCAACAGGGACTCTGTGATGACGGTCTTGAAATGCATTCCATCGGTCTGTTGTCCATATCAATCACAAGATGAATAAGAGCTCTATATTCAGTCTGAATGTAAATAGCACGAAGTTGAATGTGTCATCCTTGTAAATACAACTCCGTGACTTCTATTGAATGAATGTGTTTGCAAGTTTACCTGTGAGTCTAATCTTGGGCCTGTGGCTTTTTTTTACCAGACTTGACAAAACCTAATAACGATGTGTGGACTTTTATTTTTTATTTTTTTTGGGGGGGAGGGAAGAGTCCCTTGGGAGACCACTTCTCAATTTGGGACCTTCCTTTCTACTATAGGCACATTGTCACAAAAGACTTCTTGGCACAAGTTCTTCAACTGTTTCTTGGCAGGGGGTTATGCTCAAGCCATCTTGGAAATAGATGATGACCTTGTCTTGCATCATTTCCACGGGCAACCTTTGCTAAATCTTGAATTTTAGGAGTGTGAACAATTTATATTATCTTGGCTTTGACATGTAACACTGATCAGCCTTTGGAATGAGAGTTGGAAGCTTTTACCTTCTTTTTTCTGATATATAGGTATTAACTAAATTTCCTTCATCATATCAAAGAATATAATGCTAATTATGACCATCAAAACACATTGTGCAAGAGACTGACAAAATCCTCGACACCATATAATAAGAGTTTGTATGATACGGGAAATGCCAATGTATAACCCCACAACATTGGGAAAGATATATCATCGTTTCACTTATATCTTTCTTACTTGATGAGCTGGTTGTCAATTCTACGCATCAACCGAGTTAGCCACAACTTGCCTACACAGAAAGACCTCATAAATTTCTCTTACTTGTTACCGAGAGAAAAAGCTCAGGTTGTCATATAGGACTTTCGTCGGGGAGTGGTTCACCTTATCAATGTTGAAACCTAAAGCTCCTTTTTCTAGGATAACTAAAAGGTGAATGACAGAGCTTTTGTCATCGATTAAGGCCTACACATTTGAATAAATCTTTCATTGTTTAAGGTGTAACAAAGTTAATATTTAAAGGGCATAGATATCAGCTTCAATTTAATTTTAATGTACAACCAAGCAAGTTCCAAGAATCTCTTATAAGACCAATGTGTAAATTGACAAAATTAATGCACCTGAATGTAGTAAAACTAGCATCAATTCGACTTGTCTTTTTCCAGAAACTTATTTCGCCTACCAAAACCGTCAAAAGGGAATATATCTAAACCAAATCGAACTCATGAAATAGATTGAAAGAAACCATGGTCCCATTTCATGAGCAGTTTACATCTATCCATCTTAGAGGTAGAAAGTGGTTGCAAAAACGGCCAGTATTTAACTATACAGGGATAAAAGTTTCAAGTCAACTTGTCAATTTGTGGTTCTAATTTAGTATATAGAACACGATTCCAGGAAAGACAATAACGAATGTTTGCTAGAATGACATAGGGCAATAAGCAATTTGTTTAAGTTTCAAAGCTTCTTGACAACAGATCTTGTTGTAAATGTAGGAGCTTTCAAGAACCGCATGCACCTCTTACTGGAAAGTGTACTCTGTAGAGCATGTCTTCTAAAATTTTTCGAGAAATGGCTTGAACCTCTTCAAATTGAAACAATCAAGCCTCACACATGTTATTTCCTCTCTAAAAAGTATTTCGAGTAGATCAACTTACATCAAGGATGGTAGGGCCTTCAATTGACAATTCTTCCAAAGATTCTGGGAGTTTGCGACGAGCAAAATCCACATCACTACAATAATCTAGCGCAACCGACTTCCCACTTCTTCAAATGAGTCGAGATAAGGGAAACTCACCCATTGTCAAGATCAAAGAGCTCTAGAATTCGCAGATTCTCCAAATAGTCAAGGCATTGATTCTCTGTTATTGCAGAGTTTTCCATTCTTAGTTCTGACACTCTCTTCAAATTTGAGAGATCCATAGTTGTTCTCATCCATTAGTAAGATTCAACACATAAATAAGATAAACTTGAGGGAAGCCTTGGGAGGCACAACAAATTAGCACACCGGAGTTCTAGTCTTTTGAGTTGAGAAAGCTAACCAATACATGTTGATAAGGTGATTACAACAGCAAATAACAAGGTCAAAGACTCCGGTTTTTTTTATAATATCACGGTGCACCATGGCATAGGATCTTCCACAAGTTGACAATTGTCCACGGGGTAAGCATCTGGTCAAATGACCAAATACAAATCATTTAAATTTGTCAGGTTTGCAAAATCTGGAATTGTTGTCATGGATGTATCAATGTGTGCACTGACAAGACTTTCTGGAAGCCTTGGTAGTTGGCATGTTTCAATTAGAGTTAATTTCAAGATCCTCAAAGACGAATATCTGCAAATGTCATTTGGAATTTCCAGTTGAAAGCTTCCACCTTGTGTCGCGTCTATTTCTTCAAGCTTTTACAGCAACCACAAGGCACTAGGTATCTTTCCAATGGAAAATTATTCATCCTCACTACGTTCAAACTTTTCATGTTTCCCATGTAGTCAAGTAGCTCTTTAATGCACGTCTGGGAAATATTGAACTCAAGTAGCAATTGCAGATTGCCAATTGAGTCTGGAAGCCTCTCTATACATCAACATTATTTCAAAGACAAGTATTCAAGGCTTGTAAGAGCTCCAATTAACAGGGGAAGTTGTGTAATTATGGTGCTTCTCAAATATAGCCACGATAGAGATGTCAGACCAATGGAAGAGATTATCTTCAATGATGAACAATGCGAAGCACTAAGAATTTTAATATCCTTCAGCGCTTGATATTCAGCATTGAAGAATTCAGTATTGCTAATATCATAGATATTTCCCACAAGCGCATTCAATTGTTTCTTCTGGTCAACATCATAAAAAAGGAAGAGATCTCTTTTACTAGATAGCCTATCTTAAATTGCCCTAATCCCTTCATCAACCTTGCTTATTTCAGTCAATTTCATTTTAATACATAGGAGATGAGTTGATTCTGCAAAAACTGAATGCCCTTGAGCTCTGAACTATCACCATTGTTAGAAAGAAAGCAACAGACCTCAAAACCATGCGAAAGCTGATTGTAGATAATTAATTTTGGCAAGAGTCAACTTTAAAACACCGCCATTCCATGAATTCCAACAATTCATGTTTCCTGGGTTGTGAGTGTCATTCATTCTCATGAGTAAGACTACCTTGAACACCATATTCACATCGAAAGATCCATGACCAGTTTTGACAGGCGCAACTAAGACTACTGCGAACACCTCTTTAAGCACACACAATTTTTCTCCCTGTCAAGACAAGCGCTTCAAGTGTTTCCCCGTAAAGGAATATTTGGGTACTGATAAGCAAGTTCAATTGAATGTCAATGAAGAGAACACGCGTGAAGATGAAGTGCAATATTCATTCTTATGGTCCCATAAAAAAGATTAATAAACAATCAGGTTTACCACCAAAAACATTACGTATGATGCCCCAAATTGCATAATGAATCCGTCTGCCCTGCTCTAATGATTTCTCTGAAAAAAGGGCGGATAATTCAACTGAAACTTCACATCGAGTTCAACAGATTCAACGATTTCATCAATTGGCAACGACTTCCCTCACTAATCGTCAAGTTTCTGTCTTCCAACAGATGAATGCACAGTTTACCACCCCAAGATTGTGAGAGGGAATTTGGTCTTCATTTGTACAGCTGCCCAATTAGCCACAGCTCCCTGCACAGAAAGATTCTGTAAGTTTCTCAAACTCTAATTCCTCTCGGCAACATTAGAAACCGACAAAAAGCCGGTCGTTTGAGATGTCTCCCTTAGCACTTCTTGTCAATCTTAAAACCTAAAAGAGTCCTCTAGTGCAGCTTGAGGTGAATGGAAGGGATTCTATTACAGATAATCACCTAGGCATAACCATTTCTAGAAGATGTAGGTGATAACAGAGATCGCACAAGAGTCCATTTACATTATTTCTGACCCTAGTGAGACTTATCATCTGTGCTAGGCACCAGTAATACCGAAATATTGGCCTTTGACTATAAGATGATTTATGATACCTCGAAGAAGCAAAGTAGTTCTCCTCTCCTGTCATAGATAGAAGTTTTGCTGCGCGAACTATTGATGCCGCTACCTAAGTGAAATTCATCCTTCTTCATTTCATAACTTCTCTCTAACATTTGCAAATCCCACTAAGAAGCACACCTTTCCTGGAAAATAAACTGAACGTAAGCATATCAATACAGAGTGTCTGTCTTCTTCACAATCACAACGATGAGTTGATTATGCTGTGCAGTTACAGGATGAGAACCATAGTGCCATAACCTTCTAGCACACATTCCATCTAATTGTTTACAGCATAACGAAGTCATCTCCAAAGCGAAGCGAGGTTATCAACTTCGAAATATGTGAAGCAACAAATCAACACGGATCTCTAATAATTTGTTACATATCAAATAAAAACAACGCAATTGACATGCATACCTCCAGCTGGGAAACATAAAAGCAAGGAGAAAACATCCAAAGAGAAAATAGCTAAACAAAGCCAAACCAAACTAGGAAAAGAGAACGTATATTTGTGCATAATTAAGAACCTCTGGTTGTGCGGAGGTATCATAATATCAATACCTTCATCATATTTTGCAGTTATCAACTCGTGAAAAGGTAATTAGAAAGTTGCATATGAAACTTCTCTGTTCATTTCCGTGAAAGAAATTTGATTGCAGAAAAGGGAAAACATGGGTTGTCAGATGAAATAAGTTACCTCAATTTGTTTGAAGTTAAGGGAACGATTTGTGGTCGGGGATCAAGAAGCTTTCAAGAGCAACGTGCACTCATCCATCAGTTTCGCATTCAGATCCGTCGTCTTCATCCTCGGATCCATGTTCAATTTCGCTTTCAGATTCGTCATCTTCTCCTTCGGATCCATGTTCAATTTCGCATTCAGATTCGTCGTTTCTCCCTCGGATCCATGTTCAATTTGCTCTTCAGATTTGTCTTCTCCCTCTAATCCGTATCGGTCTCCTACAATCTGACTAACTTCTTCGAGTTGAGCGAAGAATTTCATCCACAACTAATTTCCCGCAACCCTCTATTCTAACTACATCTCTCTTCAAGTTTGACAGATCTGGCAAATTCCGTAAAGATCCACAGGAATGAAGGGCCAAAAAGATCAAAGTCGGTGGTAGTTTGCCTTGGATTTCAACCAGATCACTACAATGGGCTACGCCAATATGCCTTAGTTTGTTGGAATTACTTAGATCGAAAAATATCTCCACCAGTGGAAGTCCCATAAGCCACAATTCGCCTAGGTTCTGCAAACCGTCAAGCCCTCGAATCTCTGAGATTGCACAGTCACGAATCTTAAGAGTTGATAGCTCCTTCAAATTCGATATATCCCCCGTGGAGCAACATGACCTGCAACCTTGCAAATCCAAGGATAATAAACTGGAGGGAAGGCTCGGGAGGCAACCCAGCTTAGGGCACCGGATGTAAAGACTTCGGAGTCGAGGAAGGAGACTCCTACAATCCGTGGGTAAGGTGGGCAAGTGATCAGAGATCAAAACCAAGGATAATAAACTAGAGGGAAGGCTCGGGAGGTCACGCAGATTAGGGGCATCGAGGTAAAGGTTTCGGAGTCGAGGAAGGAGACTAATCTCTGTGGGTAAGGCGGTCACTTGTGGAGAGGCCAGGAGAAGAGACTCCAGTTTGCTTAATTTCCCAATCCACCGTGGCATCTCATATTCTTCCACAGGCTCACCATCACGTGGGACAAAGATCAGTTTCAATCCCTTTAAATTAGTCAGGTTTGAGAGATTTGGAAACGTTTGCATGCGCAATGCAGACAGCTCTAGAATGATAAGACTTTCAGGAAGAAGCCTCGGTAGTGCGTTTATTTCAGCTTGCTCCAATCTCAATATCCTCAGAGATCGATTTCTGGAGATGCCATCGCCAATTTCCACATCGAAACCGGGGGTAGTATCTCGGACATACATTTCAAACGTCATATCTTCGGCATCCATGCCATCAAAGTCTTCTATTGGGTATAGGGCATCTATTTCTTCGAGCTTCTCAATCGTCCAGAGAGTGTCGGGTATTTTTTTTGTGGGATTCCGTCTCATCCTCACTACTTTCAAATTTTTCAAGTTTCCAATGGAATCGGGTAGTCTTTCAATCCCCGTTCCTGATATATGCAATTCAATCAGCAATTCCAAATTTCCGATTGTATGCGGAAGCTCGTCCAAACATTTGCAACAATTCAAAGATAGGTATTTAAGGCTTTTCAATTGACAAATCGACTTGTCAATTTTGACTAATTGGCCACAGTTATTTAGGCTCAAACGTTCTAAATTTGAAAGAGCAAGGAAGTTGGGGGTTCTCTCTAGGCCACTGCAATAGGACAGATCCATGACTTTCAAATTCTTCATCACCTGTGAAAACAAAAAATCATGCAAAGATTACTTTTGAATCTAATAAGACAGAATAATAAGAGTTGTCTCGCATATAAGATACCTTCATGTGGCTCCACCCCTTCCAATCATGCGTAATTCCACTCCAAGATAGATCAAGAATAACCACATCCTCCATGGAGAAATTTGTAATGTTAAATGTTGGGGGAATACATTGCCATGAAAGCCATCGTAATTGTGGAAAGAGATATGAATTCTCATTAGCTAGAGGAACATTTGATGGCGATTTGTGCCAAAGAAGCCTCTCTTCTGCACGGGAATTTTCCATCAAACTGCCCACTTCAATTTCAAGGAACCTTAGATCTGATAGGCTCTCAAAGCCCTCATAGGTAAAGCAATACCGATGGTCCAACTTGAGACGAAGAGCTTGAACTTCTTTATTTCCCCGCCCAAAAGGAAAATTTTAAAATACAAAATAGTTGAAGGGAAACGCATTTATTCAAGTCCACTATATTTTGCGGTTGAGTTCAGCACTATCATTCCTGTAATCTTAAAAGAGCAAAAATATAGGTTGAGGAAGTCGTAATGGTGCTAGACAACACAAAAAGTAACTGGCTTTTTTTTTAAAGGAAAAATCCATAAATATTGGGAATTTTTATTTTTTGACCGGGGCCGGGGGGGGGGGGTTGTTTACCTTGCGTTTCAGCAAATCCAATCCTTTTTTAGGATCCCACACCCTACTTTGCTTCTCTATTTTTGTGTTACTTTCTTGACGAACTATTTCTCTTCCTAGGTCTCTGAGTTGGTCATGCATCCACACTCTATTATGCTCTTCAATCTTTATCAAAGACATGTTCTGTAGAACATCCATAGCTACTTCCGGATAAAAATCAGTTTTTTCCCAGAAATGAACCATAACGTTTTTATTATATCCAATGAAAAGACAAGCTATATCGAGGAATATATGCTTGTATGGAGGTTCTAATGCATCATAACTTATTTTCAGGTTACGTTGAACTTCTTTGTGAGGAACATTTTCCAACTTCTCCAATATGTCATTCCACTTTCTCTCTTCGGTGTAAGATAAAAGTGAACCAATGACCTCAAGAGCTAGCGGAAGACCTTTAGCAATGTCTATCACCTTGTTGGATTGGTCGATATATTTGTCCAAAGGGAAATCTCTTCTGAAGGCATGTTTGCTAAAAAGTTGAAGAGATTGACTGCGATCCATGCCCATAAGCTCATAACAGTTGTCCACTTTAAGAACATCAAGAACTTCTTTGTTTCTGGTAGTAATAATAAGTTTACTCCCTTTAGCAAACCAATCACGCTCACCTACAAGTGGATCCGTGTGTTTCTTTTCATGCACATCATCGAGAAGCAGGAGGACTCTTTTATTAGACAACCTATCTTTGATGATCTTAATCCCATCATCAATGTTTCTTATATTTGTGCATTTATTTTTGAGGATGTCAGAGATGAGCTGATTCTGCAAGCATTCGATGCCTTTGCGTTCTGACATTTCACGAATGTTGGACAAAAAGCAACAACCCTCGAAATTTTCTAAAAGCTGATTGTAGATGATTTTGGCAATAGTTGTCTTTCCGATACCACCCATCCCATAGATTCCTATGATCCGTGTATCCCTTGTCTGAGCACCTATCATTTCCATGATTGCAGCCACATGTTTGTCGACACTGACCAAGCACTTTGATAACTCCAAATAAGCCTTCTTCAACTTGCTAAAAATCTCATGGGTAACTTTTCTTGCGAACTCACCTTCTCGCCTACTGTTTGTTGGAGGCAAAAGACAATGGGTTAGAAAACTGTATTGATTTAAACTATATGTTCTGACAAGACCAGATTAAATTCGAAATGTGTTCTTCAAGGATTTATTCCATTGTAGATGGATTGGCGTTGGTACTTACAGTTAATGAATGAACTAAACTGGAAAAAAAATGATGCTTGTAATAAAATGGGACAAAATTGGGATTGTGTCATTACTTAGCGAGATTTCAGCAGTATAACTTCAATAACACAGAAATCAATTTCCAAAAGGGCTAACACAAATCTTGAAAAGAAACTAATTGAAACACATCAAGTTTTAATGGTACGAGGTACGTAAGATGAAATGCTAAAAGCAATCACCTGGTCTCCTTCTCGCTGTGCAGGTTCCATCCGTTTATTGTCGAAACTGCACTGAGAGCAGCCTTCCATTGACTTATAATCTCTTTGCCAAATCGCTCCTTCTCTTCATGTGAGCGAAGGGCCTCTGCATAACCCCCAGTTTGGTATCGAACCTCTGAAGGGGCCACATCATAAAAAATGGGCATGATCGTTTGTCTTCCAGTTTTCTGGCACTCGACCATCTGGGCTAGCTCCTTGAGACACCATACGCTAGACGCGTAACCTTTCGAAAAGATAGGTATTAAGATCTTCGACTGATTAATTGCTTGGAGAAGTTTTGGTTCAAACTGTTCCCCAACGCGGAGGCTTTCATCGTCCTTAAATGTGCGGATTCCCACACCATCCAGACTGGTGTAAAGAAAATCGGTAAAAGCTGCTCGAGTATCTGGTCCTCTAAAGCTTAAGAATACTTCATAGTCATGTCCTGATGAAGTAGCCATTCCTTGACCTTCTGTTGAAGTGTGAGTAGAAGAAGCGCCTCCTGCTGTTCCATCATTTTCACAGATGCGTCTTTTTTTGGCACTCCCCTCCATTTGATCTCACTTGACCTTCTCCTCAAGAAAAGATTGAACAGTATAGCAGCAAAAGCAGTGGCAGCTACAGACGGAAAAAAGTTTAGAAGCCAGAACTAACAAACGGAGATCTCTGTGGGTCATTAAACGTAGAAGACAGGATTGGCTAAATATGCATAGAGTGGAGGGCCAGTTTTCTAGAATTGGTCAAATAAGAATGATTCATTACAGCCTGTCAAAGTTGACAGATGCAGGTATTTCAACACGAAAGTGGCCCCTCCCAACTCAATTCTTCTCTTTTATCTCCACCGTCATAACGCAATTGAAAAAAAGAAAAATACAATTGCGGGGTAAATAATTGCACATAATTGTAGTGTCACTTCCGGGGTTGGGCTGTCGAGTCGGGGCTATTTTGGGGAAAGCGGCCCCCCGTCTGGTCGTATGAGTTGTTGTTCCTGTGCCGGATCGCGGAGGTTTTCTTCGACCTTTTTGGCTCCCCACACACGCACACACCCACCAATTTAACATTACTTGTAAATAACTCGGATTTATTTTGTTAAACTTCAAATGACGAAGAGCCTGTGCTTATAGAGTAAAAGCGCACATCTTTTGTAATAACATCGATGAAAAAAAAAGACCAGATGTTGCTAGCAATTGTCATTAAAATGCCATTAAGCGAAACAGTGAACGCATATCATTTTACAGATTATCATTGAAAATCCCCAGAAATCATTGAATTTGTGTGATGGAATCATTCATCAGATCCTGCCGGCCAAAAGAAAAAAATCATCTATCAAATGGTGGCCGCCGATCAATCAACTGTGGAAGTAATTAACCCAATGGAGACTCCAACGGTCATTCACGGCGAAACAGTCCCACGAGAATCCAAGAAAAATCTTGTGCCTTTGCGCTGTCGGCAGGACTTTAGTCAAAAGAAACCTGCAAGGCAAAAAAAAAAAAAAACAACATGAGGATGCATTTCGATGGTAAGAAATCATTCACTATTGCTCCTTCCTATTTTGCCCCTTCTTTTCCCGAGGAATTCCTTTTCATAGTATCTTCTTAACCAGGGGTACTAGACTGACATGTCGATTAAAAAGACAATTTGCGAAGCACAGGTTGACCTAGAAGGAGCGTTGTGCAATGCTTCACCTCATCACCTCAAGTGCGGCCAACTGAATCTGACATGGTGTCTACCTTAGCCACCCAAGGCCCCCATAAGTTTCCTATGAATATTTGTCTTTCCCGAAGAGAGAAAATACGAAGAGAACTTACATAGAGATCCCTCCACCATTGAGATCTTTTTTACCATCTTCGCTTTTGTTCCGACCTCTGTCGCTGGGCTTGGATATCGAGAAGAAAGCAAACAATTCTTGAAATCGTGCGAAAGTTGATTGTAGATGATTTCAATAGTCGTCTTTCCAATGCCACCCATCCCATAAATTTCGATAATCCGTGTTTTACTTGTTTGAGCACCCATCGTTTCCATGATTTTATCTACCTGGTGATCGACACTGATCAAGCAGTCCAACACTTCCAGATAAGCCTTTTATAACTCATTTTAAGAAAGTGGTATGGAAGATATTCTTGCTTTGCTTTTGTCCTTTTTCGCTACGCGCTTGAGACCTTAACATTCGTCCAACTTTTTAGTACTTCACTTTTGTTCCTCTCCTTTTCGGGACAAGATAGAATATTGAGGGATGTGATTGTTCACTTTGGATCTCTTCATTGGAATCAATTATATGTTCTACAGACATTCAAATCTGACTTCTATCAACGACTTTAGCTTGCAAACACTTGAACAATTTTGTTCCGAAGGGTAATACTTTCCCAAAAAAAGAATAAAAAAAGACGGAATTGTCCCTCACGTTCTTCCTTCTTTATTTAGCTTGGGGTTAGTTTGTTTGATGAAAGATCATTTTTGGGAAATTTTTTTCCATACTTTCCAGTGTTTGAATTACATAAAACTATTCGATCGATGGGAAACATTTACCATGGGCTAAAAATAATAAGCTTAGAGAAAATGACTTGGCAAGAAGGAATCATTTTTCCCTGATTTCTATCCTAATTTCTTTGTAATCGTTGTTATTTTGATGGACTACAGATTAAACAAAGACGATATCAATTCGAGTTTATTAATCATTACATGTTACTTTTAATGATATAAGCTGCCTTTAGTGGATTTTCACTTATTACAAATTACGATAAAATCAATTTTTTCAACTTGTTTTTACCACAATCAAATTCTTCTGGTTTACTTTCTCTTAAATTGAATTTCCTAAAAGCATTTTCCCGTGACACAACAATTCTCAAGGAGATAAATGCACCTTAAGAGTTTGTTTTTATATGATTTTGATTTTCATATGATGGAATTTGATAGGAGGAAATCGCAAGATGAAATTATTGATGAACATGAGAATTGGAGATGGATTTGTTGTTGTGTGATTTTTGCGGGTGAATGAGACAACAAATGAATCAGTGTTGGATTTTACAGAGTGATCTAGTGACATTTATTTTTTATCTTTTTGATGAAATCTCTACGTTTCTGGAAGCCTGACTGTGAGGCACGAACTGCCAAATAAAATGAATCGTCGGTGTGATTCCTTCTCGAGCAAGTTGGTTCATGGACTGTTCGTGGTCCAAGTCTTCTTAGACGTTTGACTTCGCTCTTCTAATCCCGTGATATTTCAATCTTCTTTCACCAATCATATGTTGTTCTTTTGTTTTATTTATTTTTCTTTGTAGAGTGGTAGCTAATGTTAATACCACATTAAAACGAGGCATAGTTTATTTAGGTTTAGATTGTCGGTGTCCTCCGTATCGAAATCATATCAACCAATCTCATGCAATATTTATATATTTCGATGCAAGGCAAAATTATGTTCACACGACTCTTTCGTACTTTCCATTTAGTCAAATTAGACTATATCAACTTTTCTATTGATTGATGACATGATTGGCTAGACTATCTAAAGATCAAAGGTTTTCTAAATAGACATATAGTGTTTGTTTGGAAGTATTTTTCTAAGTTTCTAAATCAATTTTGTGATAACTGATTCCGTGTTTTACGATAGAAAATAGCCACTTCGCAACTAAAGTTTCACGATAATGACTCAACGGCGACCAACATAAGCTATAGCTACTAAAATCATCTTCTATCAACTGTTCTTTAGCCAACCAAAGCTACCCGTGGAACGTTGGCATATACAATATCATAAGCTTTTCACAGTCCGAATTATGATCAATCCAATGATGAAGAAACCAAGCATTGCCTCCCCTCCATTGATCTCACTTGATCTTTTCTTTGAGAAATGTTTTAGAGATGAAAAAAGTTTAGAAGCGCTACTTATCAAATGTTGCTGGCCCAAAAAAAAAAAATATCTATTGAATGGTGGCCGCCTATCAATCAACTATCAAAGTAACAAACCCACTGGAGACCTCAACCGTCATTTACGGCGAAACTGGCCCGCGAGAATCCAAGGAAAATATGATTAAAAAAGCAAATTGATAATGAAAAGACATAAAGCAATACAGCAAAGAAAAAGAAGATGGGTCATCCTAATGTGGAAAAGAAGACCCCGCCACTTCTTTAGCGCACCTTTGTGTTGTCGGCAAGATTTTTTCCCGTGTCCAGAGGAATTTATTTTCATAGTTATATTCATGAAAAATTGTCATTGAGATCTTGTTTTACCATCTTCTTTATTTAACTTAGGGTCAGTTTGTTTGATGAAAAATCATTTTTGAGAAAAAAAATTTCCGTACTTTTCCGGTATTTGAATTACGTAAAACTATTCGATCAATGTAAAATGTTTACCATGGACTAAAAAGTAGAAGCTTAGAGAATAAGGACTTGGCAAGATGGAATCGTTTTTCCTGATTTCTTTCTATGCGTTTGAAGTGAGAAGAATATACTTCATAAATGCTCAATTTTCTTATATTCCCAAAAACACCATAAAAAGTAATTCTTTACAAATATGGTTTCATAATTTATATCCTAATTTCTTTGTAATCGTTGTTATTTTGATGGATTACAGATTAAACAAAGATGATATCGATTCAAATTTATTAGTCATTACATGTTACTGCCAAGTAAAATGAATCGTTGGTCTTCTTCTGTTTTTGTTTTTGGTCGATGTGTGATTCCTCCTTGAGCAAAGCTGGTTCATCATGGACTGTTCGTAGTCCAAGTCTTCGTAGACTTTGACTTCTCTTCACTACGAGAAAATATTCAGTGGTTAGCTCGCACCAGGTCATCCGCCTATGTGGCGTGCGTGAGCTTAGTTGGTTCCACTCAATGGGAGACACGTGGCGCTGAGTTGGACTTGCTGAAAAATTGAAAAAAGGTTTTATTTTCTCTACGTGGGGACAAAGCTGAAAAATTCAGCTCCCGCCTAAAACTTCCCCCCCCTCTCTCTCTCCTCTTTTCAATTTCCAAGGCCCTTCTTTACCTGCACTACTGCGGAAGAACAACCAAAACACACACTCTCTCTCTCTTTCTCTCTCTCTTTCTCTGCCGCCTCCGCCTCTCCCAAGAGCCCCGCCGGTCGCTCCGAGCTCAGATCTGCGCCCAAGAGGGAGAGCCCCGCGTCGCTGCGAGCTCGAATCTGCATCTGGCACGTCGCCTCCCCCAAGAGCCCCTCCGTCTCGGCTGCTGGATCCCAAGCCCCTCCGCCTTCGCCGAGCTCAGATCTGCGCTCAAGAGGGAGAGCCCACGTCGCTCCGAGCTCAGATCTGCGCCTGGCACGTCGCCTCCCCCAAGTGCCCCTCCGTCGCGGCTGCTGGACTCCGAGCCCCTCCGCCTCCGCCGAGCTCAGGTCTGCGCCCAAGAGGGAGAGCCCCGCGTCGCTCCGAGCTCAGATCTGCGTCTGGCACGTCGCCTCCCCCAAGAGCCCCTCCGTCGCGGCTGCGCAGATCTGTTGTGCCGTCTCCGACTTTTTGTATTGTGTCTGGATAAGTTCATTGCAGGGGATGGAAGGCTTTGGTGGAAGATTTTTGCCGCGGCACAGAGGATGTTGCTGGTTTTAATTTACTGCACAAACATTCTTGTTCTTTATCTTGAGTCCCCCATATGCTGAGTTTTCTTTACTCCCAGCCGATGCTCTCCATCACTGAAAACTTCACTTGGCGAGCTCACACTCTCGGACTTCGCCGCGAAAGAATCCGCGAGATGGTTTCGTCGAGCGCTTTGATGGCGTCCCTGAAAGCTCCGCTCGTGTCGGCCTGCGCGATGTCCATCGCCGTTGCCGCTCTCGGGGCTGCTGTTCCATCTATCCCCGGCCCTCTGGGTCCTCGGCTGCCTCCCGCGCTGGGCTCACTCCTCTCGTGGTTCAGGCCTTCGTACCCCTTTCGTCGTCGTCAATGGCATCATCGCCGCCACCTCCAGGTGCTTCCGCCGCGCACAGCCGGAGAGGATCGCGATTGTGGTCGCAGAGGAGATAAGAGGTCGTGGAGGCGACGCTGGCCGCGGAGGCGGCGTTCGATGAGCTTCAGGATTTTGAGGAGAAGAGGGTGGTGGTGGTGGTGGTGGTGGGGAATGGCGGGGGTGTCCGGCGGCGGAGATGGATATAATTGTGACTGCGAAGGGGAGAGGAAGGTGGCGTTCGGGAGGTCCGCTTCGGCACGGTGGAGGCGAGTGGACTTGTCGGAGAAAGCTCTGGTTTCGCCGGAGAGCCGCCGACGGCGACCACCTGCAAGTAAGAAGGGCGAAGTGAGGCGTTATGAATTTCGAAATTCGCATCACGTACGAGCAAGAAAGTGACCAGGATGACGGGGACGGTGTCTTTTGATATTTCGGTCAACGGATTCATGAAATCAAGTCAACATATTCACATAATATCGCTTTTTTTTCATGAGATTTAATTTTTTGATGCCATTCGTCAGTTGAAGTTGAATGCGCAAAATCTTAAGAGGTTTACGGTGTTAAAGTTGGGAGATTGCTCGGATCTTTCGCTAATTGAAATCGATGCTCCGAGCCTTCGCTCGTTTTATTTCTATGGTCAAGTACCTCTCTTCCTCTTTGAAGATATATCGTAGCTGATGCAGGTTGTGTGTTCAGGGAGGCAGACTTACTAGTTACAAGTTTTAGAGAGCGTCTGAGTCTGTGATTTAAGCATTTATTCGTCTTCAAGAAGAGTCTGGCAATCAAGCATGAAAATGGAAGCAACAACATCTGAATCACCCACCCTTTTTTTTCTCATTTTCTTGTTGCAATAAATTGGACTTTGCCTACCCGCTTAATAATTTCAAATTTTGTTGCATAGTCTTTTACAATCTGCAATTACAAGATGCGTTTTTTTATCAGGTTGTTCCTGTATTTAATTGTCAAGAATAACATCAATCTTCTTAAATTCATACCCAAGAGGTGTAATGCCCTCCATTTTATAGGATGAGATTGGCGAATTTAGGTAATCTCAGAACAGCACATGACTGTTTTTCAAGCTGACGACAAATATCGAATGTTGAAACAGAATCGTTTGCTTTCAGAAAATAACTTTTGACAACGTTTATTGATCGGTCATTTGTTTGATCATGTCATGATCTAAAAAAGCAATCAAAAAGTGAACGATTCAGGAATCATCTCTAAGGTAGCAGCCCTAAAACCCTATACCTTTCCATGACCCTTGGAGATATCAATGCAAATCACCAAAGATTCAATATTAAAATTGTCAAAAGCATACAAAAGTTATGGTGGTGGTGCAAGTCAGGCCACAGATTTCAAAGTGATCACACACAAGAACAGATGAAACAAAGATAAGAATAGAACAACAGAAGCAAATATATCATTGCTTAGGTTTATTACACAGAACAAGGAGAGTGTGCAGGATTAACTCTGCACTCCTCTCTCGTGTTTTTATCAGCATGGGAAGCGCCACAGGATAGCCCATGGCCCTTCAAACAACTCGGAAATCACCTAAAAATCTGTCTCTTTACAATGTACACAAAAAAAATAAGCTTATGAAGCCAATCCATCTTCAATGAAACATTTGAAGAAACCGCAGCTCAATGATTCTTTCTACATGTTCATCATAACCCTATTCATCGTCTCTCCGTCTCTCTCCCCGCCTAATCTGTGTCAACCAATCTACAACAAGAAATTTATCTACACTCTACAGAACCCAGATCTGGAGCACTAAACTGATTAATTCATATCTCAGTTTCCATGAACAGACTCTCCGGGTCCACTGCCTTCATTGGGCGAGGCGAACAGCACCGTCGTGACATCCACGAGCTTCCTCCAGCTGATACACAACCTGAAAGTCCTCAACAGGGCGTTCGGGGCTTCAATCTCCTTGCAGTCACTCGAGTTCTGCGGATCGATTGAGTTCCTGAACACGCGGATCTTCGTGGGCATCGTGTACGCAAAATGGCACTGCTTTGCCACGACAGTCTGCAGCAGAAGAAACGAATCAACCGCCGCCCCGCAAGAAACAAATTGAGCATAGAAAAATTGCAGTACTATTACTACAGATGAACTTACAGCTTCTTTGATTGTCTTGGACACGCGGACCAGCTGCTTCAAATCGCCGTGCACAACGTGACCGAGTATCCTAATCTGTTAAACCCAAAATGCTCAATCATTAAAACCCGTTATAAATGATCATATCATAATCCAAACCGCGCATTGATTTAAGCAGCATTCGAGCAAATCGAAAGCGCAAGCCAACTCACCAGAATGTCCTGAGGCAGGGCTTCGAGACCGGACTTCTCGGAGCCGTCGAGCAACGGCCTCGCGCTGCACTGCCTCTTCAGCGGAGCTCTAAACTCCGCCGACTCGGCCCGCCACACCGCCGCATCGGGGCCCTCCGAGATCCCGACCCTCTTCCTCCCGAGACCCCGCGTGCACCTCACGAGTCCGAACCCCAATGCCTCCTCCCCATCCCTCACCTCGCTCTGCCCCCCAACTACGCATGCCTTCAAGTCCGACACCATATTGCCGCACAACGCCATTTCTACTACTCCCCCCTCTGCAGAAACCAAACCGTAGTCAGTCAGTCAGTCAAATGAAGAACAGATCTGCGCAGAAACCGTAGTCAGCCTTCCATCCCCTGCAATGAACTTATCCAGACACAATACAAAAAGTCGGAGACGACACAACAGATCTGCGCAGCCGCGACGGAGGGGCTCTTGGGGGAGGCGACGTGCCAGACGCAGATATGAGCTCGGAGCGACGCGGGGCTCTCCCTCTTGGGCGCAGACCTGAGCTCGGCGGAGGCGGAGGGGCTCGGAGTCCAGCAGCCGCGACGGAGGGGCACTTGGGGGAGGCGACGTGCCAGGCGCAGATCTGAGCTCGGAGCGACGCGGGCTCTCCCTCTTGAGCGCAGATCTGAGCTCGGCGGAGGCGGAGGGGCTTGGGATCCAGCAGCCGAGACGGAGGGGCTCTTGGGGGAGGCGACGTGCCAGATGCAGATCCGAGCTCGCAGCGACGCGGGGCTCTCCCTCTTGGGCGCAGATCTGAGCTCGGAGCGACCGGCGGGGCTCTTGGGAGAGGCGGAGGCGGAGGCGGTAGAGAAAGAGAGAGAGTGTGTGTTTTGGCTGTTCTTCCGCAGTAGTGCAGGTAAAGAAGGGCCTCGGAAATTGAAAAGAGGAGAGAGAGAGAGGGGGGGAAGTTTTAGGCGGGAGCTGAATTTTTCAGCTCTGTCCCCACGTAGAGAAAAGAAAGCCTTTTTTCAATTTTTCAGCAAGTCCAACTCAGCGCCACGTGTCTCCCATTGAGTGGAGCCAACTAAGCTCACGCACGCCACGCAGGCGGATGACCTGGTGCGAGCTAACCACTGAATATTTTCTCCTTCACTACACACGATACCATCACTACCCCCATGTGACCTGACCACCGACAGCCGACAGCTCCCGCTCCATCCACCATAATCACGGCCCCACCACCCCCTGCTGTCCTTTTCCTCTCTGCTCCCCATTCAATTGCGTTCTGTCTTTTGCTGCTGCCAAAATAACCCAAATGCCCCTCGCAGCGACGAATTTCCTCCTTTTCTCTTTCTTTTTTTGGGCATTTGGTTTTAATTATAAAACGGGTCCGACGGCCTCTCTCCGTGGCTCAAAAAATCCAGCGAATTCACTGAGTCGGCCCCCCACCCCCCCGGCGACACCCGCGGCCATTCAGCCACGGATTTGTGGTCGTAGCTAGCGACCTCAGTCGGTGGCGAATTCCATGGAAGTAGGTCGAGGAGTAAACTCGCGGATAGATTGATGCACGAAGGTAAGGGCTTGTGATGGCTACGGGCGGGCGGCAATTAACCTATATATTCATTGTGATACTAATTATCCAAATTGTTTTTACGTCGTCAAAATCCAAAACTTGTACGAGGACAAAAAAAAAATGCGCTCCATCAAAGTTTGGTATAAGACGGACATTGAAAATTTGATGCGGCGGCCTGCTTGGACAACGGACGGGCTTAAAAATCTGACATGGTTTTGACATTGCTTGAAAAAATTCCATAAAAAATCCTATACTTTGCCTAGTGTGACATCGATTCTCCAAATTCTCTTTTTTTTCTATATTACTAATACCCTAATTTGTACTGGTTACCAAAAAGCACCTTCTGTCACAATTTCGTCTAAGACGACTGATAAAAATTCGATGTGGTAGCATACATGAACAACGGCAGGTAAATAGAGCTAATGTGAACCTGATGTGACTTTAGTATAGTCGAAAGTGATTTTGGACAACTTGTCAAAGTTTTAAGTTTTATTAAAATTAAAAAAAAAACTGGACTTAACAATTTTTAGAGTCTTAGAAGTGAGATAATCCACGAAACGAGCTTATTTGAAACTCAATATGCAAAAGAAAGACTCTACAATTTTAACTCTTAAGAAAAGTGGAATTGGAATATAAAATCTTGCTTTGCTTTCGCCCTTTTTCCACTACTCGAGACTTTTACATTCGTCCACCTGCTTTTTAGCATTACACTTTTGGTCTGCTCACACGACAACTTCCTTCCAGATCCTTCCTTGAACTTTGCACATTTCTTCCTTTGCTCTGCTCACACCCATCCAAAACCCTAAAAACCCCATGCCCATGGCCATGGTCATTCCCGGTGGTTGATGAGCTGACCTCCTCTCAAGTGCATGAGTGAAGTGAATGCGCCTACACCAGCAAGACCTTTAGATTTCGATCGGGTACAGATGTTGATTATATGGACCTACTGATATTTGACAAGGACAGCATAGAGGAAGCACGTGGTGGGGGCAGCCAAGGAGGAAAAAGTAAAATCTCCCCAGATCCGGAGGTGGAAAAATGTTCCCATCTTGGAATAGATAAATTCTTTTAGTCTTTTCAGAAATAGATCCTAAAAGTTATCAATCACGGGGACTCAACAAGTGGAAAAAGACTTTTGAAAATGGAAAGTATTAAATTCCTTGAATTGAGATCAATGAAAAATTAAATTTGTTCTCCGAAGGCTTAATTTTTTATTATACCCCACTAAACTTTTGTTTTGGTAAAATCAAAGTTCGAAAGTCTAGTTGCAGATTCTTTTAATTGAAATCGAGCTTCCTCCTATGGCTCAAGAGCTTGGTGAAGAAGAGAAAGTGGGTGGGATTCACACTGCCTAACTCCTACTCTTGTGAAAGGAAAAGCGACTTTTCGTATAGATGTGGGTCCCACTATCAAGACAAATGGAGTAGTTAGTAGCAAGCTCTGATTCACGACTTCCACTTCCACGTTTATAGGTGTTGTCATTAGTTTCTTCCATTTCCTCTGTCCATCTTCAATTATATTGGTGCATATAGTGGCAGAAAAAAAGAAAAATACAATGGTTTCCATCTCTGCCCATTAAAAGACAGTCTTACATCATCTTATTCATTAAAGAGAATAATATCTATCAAGGATACAATGAATATTTCGAGGGAGGAAACCAGATTCAAGGCTTTAGCTTTACATCAGTATAAATAGATAACGTTTAGGACTTCA